ATTTCTCTTAAAGGGGAAAGATTTTGGGTTTTGGTTTTTTTTTTCCAAAAAAAAAACAAGGGTTTCCGTAACTTTAGGAATGGAAAAGTTGTTCCCTGGTAATCCCCGGGTTTTAAATTTCCAACAGGGGTCCCCACCCCCCCCCCCCCCCCCGGTGTTTGCCATCGGGGTTGGGTTTTCGTCGCTTGGCAGCGACATTGTAAAACAAGCCGCCCCCTCCGGTGTTTGCCATCGGGGTTGGGTTTTCGTCGCTTGGCAACGACGTTGTAAAACAAGCCCCCCCCCCTCCCCGCACCGCGCAAGGGGGGGATACAGGGGTAGCAACATTGCGAAGTGTGAACGGTGGACTAGTCAGCAGTGGGAAGGGAAAAAGGGAAGTTCTAGCAGGACACTACAAGAGACTTGGAGTGCCTTCGGAGAATGAAGATTTTGACCAAGTGTTTAAGAAGGAGGTGGACGCATGGGCCCAGAAAGAAGAAGAGACATCGAAGGCAGACGTTGGGAACGTAGAACTAGAAAAGGAGTTCACTGAGGACGAGGTTGAGGCGTGTGTGAACAAGCTGCAGTGCCACAAAGCAGCAGGGGCGGATGGGATAGTAAACGAGTTCATGAAGTTTGGGGGCAAGGGGATGATCCAGCTGATGGTACTGCTGTACAACTGGGTGTGGAAAAACGAGTATGCGCCAAGTAGATGGAGGGAAGGAGTGGTTGTGAACTTGTTTAAGAAAGGAGACAAGACTGACCCAGGAAACTACAGGGGTATCACACTGTTGAACACAGTAGGAAAAGTGTTCTGTAAGCTGCTGAACGATAGGATAGTGGGAGTATTGGAGAAGAAACGTAGCATTAGTGAGGGCCAGGCAGGTTTCCGACAGAAGAGGGGGTGCGTAGACCACGCATTCACGGTAGGGAGAATCATCCAAGGTAGAAAGAGGGCGGGCAAGCGGACGTACTGCTTCTTCCTGGACGTGAAAAAGGCATACGATACCGTATGGAGAAATGGGCTGTGGAAACAATTGTCCAAGTACGGGATCAAGGGGAAAATGTGGAGGGTGCTGAAGAAGATGACAGAGTGTACGAAAAGCGCGGTCATGCTAGACGGAGAACTGTCTAAATTCTTCGACATTGAGCAAGGGGTCCCACAAGGTTGCACGCTGTCCCCAACATTGTTCCAGGTGTTCATCAACGATCTGTTGGAAGTCGTAGAGGCAGTCCGGAAGGGAGTAAAAGTAGGGGACACGGAAACTTCGGTGTCAGGAATGCTGTTTGCGGATGACTTTGTTGGTATGTCGGACACCCCTGAGGGACTGCAACTACAAATTGACGCGGCGAAGAAGTTTACTGATAAGTGGAGATTGTCTGCCAACGTTACGAAGAGTGCCGTCATGGTATGCAACGAGGGCAGGGAGGAACCAGTAGAACATAGATGGAAGTGGGGGATCGAGGAGATTGCAGTAGTCGACCAGTACACATACCTCGGAGTAGAGATCGCAAAAGATTGCTCGTGGAATGCACACATGTCCAAGGTAGCGGAAAAGGGCAAAGCACGAGCAGGGAAGCTGCACCCAATACTCGCAAACCGGCACCTTGATACACGCATCAAATTGACGGTTTTGAAGAGCGTAATCGTACCGCCGCTGGAGTACGCCGGAGAAGTATGGGAAG